GGCATCATGGACCAGAATAATCTTAGTGAATACCCCAGACTATCCAAGTGGGAGAGAAGGAACTTCTGGCAAGTATCTCATATACTTTATGTATCGATCCTCTGATCCTAACCCTGTCCGGTGACCTCGGCGGATCATCCAGCATGTACTAAAAAAAAAAAAAAAAAAAAAAAAACAGACAAAGAGGAATATATAACTTGCAGAAAATCACACAACTAGTTAAAGGACTGGGAGGTCAGTAACTAGAGTGCCCCAAAGTCACTTCAGAAACTGCAAAGGCATTAGAATTTCAGTGACTTTCTGAAAACAATCATAACCTGTGAGCAGTTGGGGTGAAAGGATGTAACACTAAAAGGTAAAAGATGTAGAGACTTGCACTGAGCAAATATTTAGCCTCTTCTCTGTACCTGTCCTATGCCTCATATGGGGAGAAATAAAAGGCTCCTCCTAAGATAGTTAAACTTAGTCCTAACACAGTAAACATTCAATAATTCCTGGGAATTATTCCTTGTTTGTTTTTCTGTTTAAAGGGCAGGGTTGGCGAGCAGTGAGAAGCGAGCACACCCAGCAGGGCAAAGGCACTGCCGACGGGCGCCTCCTTCAAGAGAGCTGAGTCTTTTTCCTGGTTTCAGTTTCCTCCTCTGTAAAACAGTCATGGCAACTACCCCTAAGGATGGTGTCTTTATAAATTATAACACCATATGCAGCTTGGGAAAAAAACACACACACACACACAAGTGCAGTGGGCCTGAGAAGTCCAGTTTAGAATAATGACATGGACCAATGCTGACATGAGGGCATTTATGAGTTCAGAGCGCAAAGATCAGAGGTCTTTAAACCCTTGACATCCGCATCGGGTCATATCCCTCCAATTACCAATGAGCCCAGGCTTACACTTTGCATGTTTCCCAGGAAGAGACCAGAAACAGCTCTTGAGGAAATGCCTGGTACTGGAACTTGGTGCTTGTGCTCCAAGCATGTGCAAACTTGCCATTCTTATTTCTTAGAAAAAAAGAGACACTGTAGAATTCTTCTAGAATCATTGTGGTCAGCGTTGGGGCAGAACTCAAAGGCAGAGCTGCAGCTTGCGACCTAGGGATGTCTGTCCTCTTGCCAAGTCAGCTCTGGTTTTCTGCTCACAGAGGAAACAGGAGGGTGAGGGGCAGTGGGCAACCAGTGAGGTCCCAACAAGCGGGTGTGATGCCTGGTCTTATAGGGCTTTCACTACCCCTGAGGCTCTGGAACTTTGGCCACACCTCCCGGTGCACAGCACAGGCCAATGAGGAAAGGGGTACTCTGGTGCTGAGTCCCTTCTGTTCAGGACACACCCACCACTACCTTGCTCCTTATTCCTCAACCAAGGATTAGAACAAAGTCATAAAAATTCTAGAACCTCAAGGTTTATCACTATTTGCCCCTCCTAATGGCCTGCCTTCCAGTGGGTAAACAGCTTTCCTTCTTGCCTTGTGACCATGTCTAGTAGGCCAACTGGAGGGGGTCCCTACCCACCAGAGTGCGGAATATGTTGGGGGTAAGAGGTGGAGGGGTAGGAGCACCCTCCAGAAAGTGCCCCTCCCCCTCATTGTCATTCCGCTGCCACCACACAATATCCTCCTGGTTGGGTGGGAAGGACCAACAAGCCCCACTTCTGAGCCAGCACCAATCACAAGTCGAGGACATTAAGCATGAAGCCTTTATTAAATTTCCCACTGGAGCTGAAGGGCTTTATTGGGGCATGGCTGACAGACCAGGCTCCCTGAGCCCCACAAGTCTCCTCCATGCAAGGGCAGTTTTAAGGGACAAGATAATGCACAAAGAGGGAGAATATGGCCTCGTGAAAAGTTTCCATGTTGATGGTAAGTGGAAGAGGTTTGGGGTGAGCCCTGCGTTCTGGTTCTGGGGGAAACGGGAAGAGTGCTGAAGGGCAGGGGCCGGTCGACCCTCCTGACTGGTGAGGACACCAGCGCCTCTGTCCTCCAGACTTTGGAATCCGGAAACCTCTGGGGCCTATCCACCTTTAGGGGGCAGCTCTTCAGCTGCTGCCTCAAGCTCAAGTCTCCCTTAAGGGAGAGTACTGTTATTTTGGGAGGGAGAAAGAGTGGGGGTGCGGTTCAGGGGACAAGACAAATGCCTCTGATGCTACTGGCAGAGCCTTTTCCAAATAGTTTCACAAGGCTGAGAAGGAACGTGGCTAGGAAAGGGTGGCCCCTCGACGGGCACCCCTGGAAGGCGGCCTCCTAGCCTCTAGAAAAGGTCCGGGCGGACCGCTGGGAGTGTCCATTCTCTCTGTGAGCGCTTGACTGATGATCACAGGCAGTGACCTGTCCTGCAACAACAAAAGGGAAATCAAAAATGCTGGGCTCCACCTTCAGCCGAAGTGGCGGCGGGCAAGAGACACCCAGGACACCAGCGCAATAAATACCCCCTAGCACATCAGTTATCAAAGGACCTTCAGCAATCTCTCCCGTTCCCGCTGAGATGAAGGATGGCGCCTTCTTGCTTTCCTCTTTGCAGCCTGCAGCTCCTGGTCGCCCCAGCCCCTCACCCAGCCCCACCTCAGGAAGGGAAGGCGGGTCTAGACAGAGGGCAGGGAGGGGCTCATACCTTGAGAGTCTGGGAGAGGCGAGCAGGGTAGGTCCGCTGGGCTGGGACCTGTCCTCGAGGTCCCAGGCTCTCTCACTCAAGGGACGCTGCTCCTTGGCCATGGAGAACTAAGAATATTTCATGAAAGAAACAAAAACTAAAGGGAGAAAAGTGGAGAGAACAGGCAGGTGAGGGCCAAGGTTAGGGGGAAGACTGAGGAGGGGCTCGCCCACCGCCCAGCCCGCGTCTGACCAGCACCTCGCTGCCTTGCCTGGGCACCGCAGCAACTTCTGCTACCACCCCTGACACCCCAGATCGCCTCCTCCCAGACCTCAAGGGTTTTCCTGCATCTTTTTAGCAGTTCTGATCTTCCTGGGGAGGAGGGAGGAAGCCTTCTAAGCTCCAAGTGATCAGTTCAGAGTCATTCGTAGAAAATGAGCCAAGTGTTGGCTGACGATAACGGTTAACAGCTTTTCTCCCTGCCGTTGGCCACGCCCACTCCAGCCACTGGCAGACCTCCTCCAATCAGAGGCCTAGCTCCGCCTACTATCCGCCCGGCCTTGCGGGGAGGGGTGGAGCCCGCGTCTTACAGAAGGTTCCATAGTCACTGAATCGGCCTATGCTGGTCTTTCCATGAGGAAGGCACCACCTGGGGTTCTGGAGTATCAGGGCTTCAGAGCAAGTGCAGGGTCTTTGATAGGCAGGCCTGGCACGGCCTTTGGAGATGGTGGTAGGGCTGCCCAGAGTGTGCGTATGTCAGCCATGCCCTCTGGCGCCAATCCCAGATCCACGGTTTACCTGTGACTCCAAGTCTTCACAGCTAGTTTGTCAGAGGAAAGTACTCTCCAGAGAGCACCTGGTCTGATGCCTCATTGTTAGGGACAGAGTTGCAACTCAGACCCACCTTCTGCTAACTTTGATATTTCTCTCTAACTGAAAACTTCTCATGAAGAACAAAAAATGGTTTATTCAGCCTCAAATTATGGGCACTCACACTACTTAAGGAGTGTGTGCCATCATCCCTGCTGCTTCTTGCCTCCTGCGGCAGGGCTTGAGGTATCCAGTCCTCAGAGCCCTAAGTCAAGGATACAAGCAAAGGGAGAAGGTAGCTAAGCAGATGAGAATGCCTTTGAGCAATGCGACAAGGAGGAAGTCTGAGAGCTAGTTGGGGGGAGCCCACATGGTAATATTTGTTGGGCACTTATTTTGAAGACCCTGTCCTGATAAGGTCGAAATAGATGATCACATTTGACCATATTTCATATCCCTTTTATTTTTAAAAGTCGACATAGAATTCACATGTCATGTTCACTATTTTAACCATTTTAAGTGTGTTATAAAATGTCAACATTCATAATGTTGTGTAACCATTACCAGTATTTAATTCCAGAACATTTTAACAGCCCCCCCCCTCCAGATATCCCAAACATGGTAAGCTAACTGCTCACCATTTCTCTTACACCTTTGGCAATCAGTAATTCACTTTCTGATTCGATGCCTATTCAAGGTTTTTTATATAAAGGGAATCATAATATTTGACATTTTGTGTCTGGCTTCTTTCAGTTCATTTAATGTTTTCAAAGTTTATCCATGTTATAGCTGTAGCAATGTGCCATTATTTTTTAGTGCTAAATAATAGTCCACTATATAGTATAATATATTTAGGTTAATAATTTATTTTATGGGTATTTGTGTTGCTTTCACAATTTGATCATTACAAATTATTCTGCTATAAACATTTGTGAGCATATGTTTTTGTGTTCACATATATTTTTAGTTCTCTTGGCTATATACTTAAGAGTGGAATTGCTGTGTCATAAGGCAATTCAATGCTTAACCTTCTGAGCAAAAATGTCTCCCATGGTTGATGTACCATTTCACATTTCTCCCAGCATTGTCTATGCCCACTGTTCCTGCATCCTCAAAAACAATTGTTATTTATATAAATATATATATACACACACATGTATGTATGTATGTGCATGTATGCATGCATGCATGCATGCATACATACATATATACACATACACACACATATAGCCATCCTAGTACGAAGTGACATCTCATTGTGGTTTTCATTTGCATTTCCTTTGTTGCTCTTTCTTTGGTTTGTCATTATTTCAGACTAGCACATTGAGAAAAATTTGCCTTAAAATCTTAGAAACTAAGAGAAACAAAGTCCCCTTGCCTTTGTAATGGACCCTGTGTACATTGAGACATAGATTCAACACTTCGCCAGACCACTTATAACTCTGCCTTAAACTTCACTTCCTGCTTATGCAGAGCTGAAAGAGCCAGAACGAAGAGCTTAGAGCCTTCTCAGCTTTTCTGAGTTTGTGCCCAGTCCTGGGTATGTGCATAGACTTCTAGGTTCCCAGAAATAGGTGGCAACTTTTCAAAGTCCTTCTTCCCTGAAACATTATCTGATTTCCCAGGCTTTTCTTCCAGACTTTTAGAGTTATCTTTTTCTTTGCATGCCAAGTAACTTTTATTGGATGCCAAACATGGTGTTGGATATTTTTATATTCTTTTAAATATTCCCGAGGTTTTTTGTTTTGTTTTGTTTTTCCTGTGGTGCAGTTAAGTTACTTGGAAACAGTTAATTCCCTCAAGGTCTTATTTTAAAGATTTTTCAGATAGATCCATAGCAACATTTAATCTGGGTCTAATTTTTCTCTTCTTCTAAAGCAAGATCTCAGTATTCCACACAACTCTGCACAAATTATGAGTTCTTGTGCCTGTGAATATCTGACAATATTTCCTCTTACCTTTCATGAAGTCCTTCCTGTGGCTGTGGGTAGTGCTATGCTCTGAATATTTGTGTCCCCGCTCCCCAAATTCAAATGTTCAAATCCAAGCTTCCAAAGGTGATGATATTAGTAGGAGAGACCTTCAGGAGATGGTAATTAAGTCATGAAGGTGAAACTCTCATGAATGGGAATGGTGGCTGATTTTTAAAAAAGTCCCAGTGAGCTCCTCAGTCCCCTCCACAGTGTGAAGGTGCAATATGAAGTCTAGGAGCATAGATGGCTCTCGCCAAAGCAATGCTGGCAGCCAGGTGTCAGACATTCAGCCTCCAGAACTATAAGAGGTACACTTCTACTGTTGATAAGCCACAGAGTCCATGATATTTTGTTATAGTAACTCAAATGGACTAAAGCAGGTGATTTCCTTAAATGTGGCATAAAGAATATTCTGAATGCCAAAGGGGGGTTCTCTATAGCTCTCCTCTTTTTCATCCGTTATGCTATAAACTCTCACCACAATGATCTCCCTAGACCCTCAGTTTCTCAAGTCAGGGCATTTTCTGGTTTTTGCCTGGCCACTCCACTCCCTGAGTGGTGACCTGGGATAATTCCAGGCATGACCCTAGCAAAAGTGTAGAACTCATCTTTTTTGTATCCTAAATCTGCAATATCACTGTCTTTTATGACTTAATGTCTAGAAGCTTAAAATCAATTGGTTATTATATTTTGTTTAAATATCTTTTTGTTTTGTTTTGTTTTAGGTGAGAATGAGACATTAGTCCTATTTTCCTCCATTTTTTGAAGGGCATTTAAAATTTTTGCTTTTAATTTCTACTACAATATGATCAGAGAAGTATGCTATTACTTTGTAACATAATATATGATAAATTTCAATGAATATCTCAAGTGTACTTGAGAACAAAGAATATTCTTTACTAAAGTATACAGTACTGGGTACATATGAAAATTAACTTATCAATGATGTTGGCTGAATCTTCTTTAGCCATGTGTTTATATTTTAATATGCCTTTCTTGGCCTGGGAGTGCTGTGTCAAATTTGCTTAGCATTATTGTTTCTATTCTCCTTGTATTACTTTCATTTCTATTTAATATATAGTTGATTTCTGTGTAATCTAGCATATAACATTAATAACTGCATTTTATTGTAGATTTATGCATTATAATATGATTTATGTGCCTTGTTTTAACTCTTTTTATACTTAGTAGTAGGCTTGTTACCATTGTTTTAGAGTTGTTCTTATTTAGTTGACATAAGTAACTTTTCCCATTCTCCTTTATTCTGAGTTACTTTGAATCACTTTGCTTTAAATGTTTCTCCTGTATTTAGAAGAGACCAGTGTTTTGCTTTGTAAGTTATTTTGAAAATCCTTTTCTCTTACTAGGCAAGTTAATTTCATTCACACTTATGGATATGACTAATATCTTGGACGTCAATTCCTTATGTCATTTTATAATTAGCCGATGTATTATGCTATGTTTCTTTGTTTCTCTATATAACTCTTTTGCTCTTTTAAAAAGTATTTTGGTGTTTACAAAAACTGTACATTTTCCCTTTAGTAGTTACCTTTATATTGGTATCTTTTAAAATATCTTGATTAATATTTATTTTCTTTTGTTATTTGGATTATCACTTCCAAATGGCAATATTTGCTTTCTATCTGTTCTCTCTGCAACATTGACTTGGTTCTATTTTCCTTTTCTGTTTTCCTTCTCAGTTCAAATTTTAAGTTGCATTCTTTCTTCTTTGTCAGAACATATGACATTTACAAATAATTTTCTACATTTGTGTCTGATCCTTGTTTAAATTTTAGCTCTACACTTAATCCACTACAAGCTTACTATCTTGCTTTTGCCAAAGTTTCACCAGTCATCTCTTGATTGATTAAAATCCACCCTCTAGCAGCGTATCCAACAAGGATTCATATAGACAGAGTTCTCTCACTCTGTGCATATGTAATTTGCTTTTCTATAGCCTTGATAATTGAATGATGGCTTTCCCACAGATAACATCCTTAATCACAACTTAGTTCCTTTCTGTTTGCTACTTGAAAATAATGTTCTATTCTTACCTTGCTTTGCAGGCTGCTTTTGAATATCTTGATATCAACATAATTTTTGCAGTTTATCAGTATATGGAATGTTATATGAAGGTCTTGAATATTATTTCTCTGTCTTTAAACTCTAACAGTTATATGGGATATATCTCTGAGGTGATCATTCTCAGTCACTTTTCCCAGGAACATGCTTGGCCCTGGTCTCTGCTTCTATCAGTGGAAGACCCAGAGCTGCTTCCTCATGGGATATGTTCATGTCTGGGGGACAGAAAACAGCATTGATAGGGAAGATGAACCAAGGAAGAGGCTAGACACATCTCTAGCAGGGATTAGAGGATTGTCTGTAGCAGGTGGAGAGAACAGCCCTGTATTTGTTGCTATAGGAGTAAGAGAGAAAGGTAAGAGGATGTGGATTTTGAGTGAGTTTAAGAAAGAACTTTAGGCCCTCCCTGGTGGCGCAGAGGGTTAAAGCACTGCACTGAGTGGCTAAGGCCACGTCCGCATGAGTTCGATTCCCACCTGCCCTGGAGGTGACCACATGGCGTGGCAGACCTCTCCTGGCCTGCCCACTGCTCCCCTCAGCAGTGTACTACGTCGACCTGCCTGTTCTGCTCCCCTCTCTGTCTCTGGTGAAGCCTCTCGCCACCCCTGAGCCTCTGGCCTGTACCCCAGATCTGTATGAACAAATAAATAAATCTTTAAAAAAAAGAAAGAAAGAAAGAAAGAACTTTAATGGAATGGATAAGGCTATTGTGAGACAAAGGATATCAAATCACCCAATTTGTTCTCTCTGTGGCTGAATATCATGATGTCATGGAGGTTGGTTCACAGAATCTTGGATCAGCAGTATAATTACCAAATGGACTCTATTGCAACTCAAAATGGACTTTTTATCTTCTATCTAAGCTACCCCATGCCTCCTAGCAATAACTTTTGTTGGAACATATTTTTCAGTCCCCACTTTTTTTTTTTTTAAGATTTATTTATTTATGTATACAGGGTACAGGCCAGAGGTGCAGGGGCCGTGAGAGCATTCACCAGGGACAGAGTGGGGAGTAGAATAAGTTGACTGATGAAGTACATTGCTGAGGGAGGGTCAGGAGAGGTCTGCCATTCCTTGTGCGTCACCTCCCTGGCCGGGAATTGAGCACATGCTGAAGTGGCTTTAGCTTCTTAGTTCGGGGCTTTAAGCCATTGTGCCATCAGGGAGGGCCCTTGATTGTCCTTGATCAATACAGTTTCTCTTTCCAGCAGCCTTCTAGACGGCTTCTCTTCCTCCTTCTTGGCTCTCATTCTCCTACCCTAGTCCATTCTTATTACAAAGTTTAGCTTGATAATCTCATTCCTCTGTGTCAAATATTAATTCTCATAGATTCTCCAAAGACCCACATACCAGATGGTCACATGTGATGTACCCCGCCCCCTCAGACCCTCAACGCTCCCCCCAGACCCTCAAGACCCCTGCCAAGCTTGCTGCTAACACAGGTCAACTTGCCATTCTTCAGACTTCTAGACAACTCTCTGCCCTTGAACACCTTGGTAATTTCTTCTTTCAGGAATGTCTTGACCACAATTATTTAGAGAGCTCCGTTCTTTCTATTTTCTCCTCAGATTTCATTACCTATTCAAAGAGCCTCTGCTTGTCCACCCTTTATAAAAAAGGACTTCCATCCTTCTATGTTTCTTTATTTTTCACAATAGAACTTATCACCTACATATTATATATTTAATTATTTGTTTGTATCTAGACTGCCTTGTCTGACAATGGCTTTGTCTGATTTCTTTTCCCTGCCTATTCTCAATGTCCAGAAGATGCCTATCACACAACTGGTGCTCAAGAAATATTTGTTAAATGAATACTGTGATGGTGTTTTCATGGGGAGACAGGACAATATGGCAATCAGCCAGGATGTGTCTCCTCCTCCCTGGGGGGATGAGAAGGAATGAGAGATTTAGGCCTGATGGGGCTTTATGGTTTATTGTGATCCAGTTCCAGGTAAGATGGTGTGAACACACAGTGGGTCTTCTTTCCCACTATAGAGTCTGACAGAGCAAGCTGTGCAGCTATTTGAAGTCTTTGAACAACAGGTATCAGAAGTGCATTGTGGGTGGGGGCACCATGATGCCAAGTACCTCCACACTGGTGATGGTAAGTTGAGTGGGTTTTTCCCTCTGATAGTCTCTGAGAAAAACTCAGCACCATCTGAAATCTGGGAGTGAGTGATTGACACACCTGAGAAACAGAAGAAACCCCCAGGTTCTGGCGACAGCTGCAGAATAGGGAATTTCCAAACTTCAGAGCATGGGGGAGAGTCCCATATTGGTTTCCTTTCCTTTATCTGCTCTCTCCTGTCTGCCACCAGGGAGTCTTTGGCAGGAGAAGTGATGACAACAAATGTGACTGGTAACATTTAAATGTGGCTGGCGCCCTAAGGAGAGGTCACTTCTGTTCTGCGTCAGGACAGTCTTCCTTCCTGCTTTGGTGTCGAATCTCGCTGTTGGGAACCTCAAAGTTCCAGATTCTCATCACTCTTCCCTGTCACTTTTTTTTTTTTTAAAGATTTATTTATTTATTCATATAGAACTGGGGTACAGGCCAGAGATGTGGAGGGTGAGAGGATTCACCAGAGACAGAGTGGGGAGCAGAACAGGCAGATCAACGAAGTACACTGCTGAGGGGAGCAGTGGGCGGGTCAGGAGAGGTCTGCCACGCCATGTGGTCACCTCCGGGGCAGGCGGGGATCGAACTCATGCGAAAGTGGCTTAAGCTTCTTAGTGCAGTGCTTTAACCCGCTGCGCCACCAGGGAGGGCCCCCTGTCACTTTTTAACCTAAATTGGTGACATGGTCTTATGGATACAGTAGCTGTCACGCCTGGGCAAGTCAACAAGTCTGGCTCCACAAATATCCTGTGACTAGCCCTGGTCATCCCTCCACTCCAGCGCTCAGATGAAGAACTGAGTTTGACCCACTAGACCAAAGTGAAGAAAGAGAAGGCAATGAGCCACTCTAGAAGTGGTCATGGTCCTGGGTTAACCGTGACATCCCTGGGTAAAGCTGGAGCTTGGGGGGTGGTGTCGGGGGGTGGAGCAGAGGAGGAGGTCTGAGGTATTGCCTTATGGGATTTTCCAAGAGCATTGAATGGGCCGAACATGGCATCTGTGATGAATGTTTGGAGCTCAAGAAGTGGGACTCCTGCTAATCTTACTTGACAGACCTGAGACTGTGAAGAGGAAGGTTCTTAGCAACACGTAAGGGTTTTTGAGTAGGGAAGGGAGAAGCTAATGTTTCTTTGCACAGCTCCCCCTAAGCACTTCACACTATCATATCAGTTAATCCTAACTAAATCCATGATAGGGAGCAAGAAGTTGATTTTCCAGATGAGTGAGCTGTGGAACAAAGAAGTGAAACAAACTTTGTTTCGAAGGTCATAGGCCTGGTAAGTGAGAAGACTGTCAATAAACACATTTGCTTACATTGGAATTGATATGAAACCCAGAAAATGTCTTCATTCTTAAAGTGCTGAATCCTACCACACAGGCCATGAACATGTAGAAGGGCAGTGCCAGCCGCAGTAGGAGAAAGCTTAGAAATGCAAACAGTGTATGTTGTGACTGGGTGAACACCAGACACCTTGCTCCTTAGCATGAGAAATGGAAGGAAGTGAATCTGTCTCCTCGAGGTACTCATTAGCCTCTCTGAGGAACAAGTTCTGGCTCACACAGGCAGCGTTATCTGTTTATGCAGCTGGTCCCTTTATGCCTGAAGAACTCAATGCTTGGACAAGGAGGGACAGCTCAATGCAGTGGTGCCACAGCTGAAGGACTTCCTGGAGCTTTGGTACCTTCCTGGAGACCCACATACTTTTCCAAAGAAGGCCTACAGGCCTTCAAGGGCGACAATACCTGCTTTCAGTCCAACTAGAAGCCAGTTAATACTGACTGATGCTTCTGACTAACTAGAGGCCAGAGGGAGCAGATCCCAGCTTTGGAGTTTTGGGGGACATGGTTCTATGGGCTTGGGGGTTGGACCAGAAGATGGTGGACCAGGAAGAATGGGAGAGTCCTTCAGTAGCCCACTTGAGGGAGGCTTCCCATCTCTGCATGAGTGGAGGGTGTGGGAGGTTAGTTTGTAGTTTTAGTTCCTTTACTTATAAAGTGACAAAAGAAAGATCTAGCTCAGGGACTGTGCATATTGTGCCACTGAAGCACTAAGTAATTAAACTCCTAACACATAGAACTGGAGAAGTGGAAGTGCTAACTGTCTCCTTTATATTGATTTTATGCTTCATTGGGTACATTGTGATCAATTACATCATATTAATGATAATACTGGGTATGGGGGTTCTAGAATCACCCAGTTGGCACAAGAAGTGCCTCAGAAGCCATCTAGCCTACTTTCCATTATCTGATATTAGAATTCTCCCAGCAATATGTGTGCCAGGAATACTGATAGTATCAGAGCCATAATGGGCATGTGGAACTTGAGAGTTTATCCAGGGAGTGTAAGAGCGATTCCTATGCCCACTGACTGTCCTCCAGGCAGCCACAATTGAGTAAACCCATCATACCCCTCTTGCCTCCTTGATAACTGGTGGGTTTGCCATCCAGGGCTGTCTGCCATGGTTTGGATAGGAAAATCAGTGAGCAGGAACTTGACCAGAAAGCCTTTGGTGGTGTCTGCTGTCTCTTCTTCCCAGCCCTGAGGAGGAGACAAGAAGGCCAGGTGGGCGCAGGAGAGGGGACAGTGCCCAATTCCCCATGTCTACAACTCTAGAGATGTGAATCATAAGCACAGGGCTCCCACTCCCTGTGAGTCACATGCCCCCAAATGGTGCCACTGCTGCCCAACTGCCCTTACCTAGGGTCACCCTTTCACACACGGATCTTGGAACCATCACCCGGGAATCACACTCCTGAGGAACACTGCCCAACCCCTGTTTGGCACAGTGTCTGGCACCAGTGGAGGGCCATTCCTCCCTGTGAGCAGAGCCCCCTCCTCAAAAGGTAGCAGTGAACAGGAAGGTGGCACCCCGACTTTGCGTGGCCACTATCTGCTGTGGCTGTGGGGGTGATCGGAACTCGGTGAGGCGGCCGTAACTCAGGCCCCTGCTCTTTAATACTCATCTCTATTCTCTCTCAAATCCACTACTTTGGGCTAGAAAGTAAAAGTAGACTCTTTTCTTAATCTTTGTTACCCCAAGAAAGCTCCAAGGAATAAGACATAAAACTCCATTCAACCCATTCACACCAACCCAATGCAACAAGGCCCAGTTGGAGCCCGGGAGCAGGATAGGGTAACACAGATGTTCCAGGGTTAGCTTCAAGGCAGGCTTGGGGGTGTGCTGGTGTCAGAAAAGCCCCAGTCCTCACAGCTGCTAGGGACTGTGCAGGCTCAGTACCTACCTTTCAAACTTGATTGGTTCATTATACATGATTGGCACCATGTGAGCTCAAAGCTGGTTGGTGCCAGTGGGCACTCAAACCTGGTCCATTTTGAATACCATGTTTATTTCAAAACTTAAATTGCAGCTGGGGTCCAGCCTGATCTGTACTGAGGTTGGAAGGTCACCAGGAGCCACCTGCGCTGGCAGTGGGATTGGGGAGTCTCCTCTAACAAGCCCATCTCCCTTTGCACAGAACAACACGCTCCGGAGAGTCTGGGGTGGGGTATATGGCATGGCCCTTTTGACTGTGTTGAAGGAGAGGAAACTGCAGCTCAGAGAGGCTTGGTCATTTTCCTCCAATCACTCAGGGCTGGGGGAACAGAGTTAGGACCGGGAATCCTCTGACCAAGTCTGCTGTTGCAAATGTCCCCACCCTCTCACCACTCACAGCTACAGGAAGGCTGAGAGGGAGGCAGGAGAGTCAACAGGGGAGGAAAAAGCTGCAAATACTGAGCTAGGCCTGGGAGAGGCATGAGGGGTGCTAACTCTGCTGGCTTTGGACTGGTCTGAAGGGTCACTCTGCCAGACGTGAACTTGCCCTCAGAGTTCTGGACTCCTTCATGACACATAGGGGACACTCCTCCTTGGCATGAGAAAATGGACTCCTTCCATGAGAGATAAAATACAAAGGTGAGTGGAAAAATCTGAGGGCGAGACCTGAATCCAGGGAGAAGGGGTCTCAAGTGCAGTTCCTGCAACAGCCCAACCCTACCTGTGCTGGGCGACCCAGGTGTGAGAACAGGAAGAGGAAAGCAATGGAAGGTGTGAAAGCAACTTGCCAGCTCTCCCCATCCTCGATGAGCTGCCAGGGAAAGGGGAGGCACCAGTGGTTAGCCATCAGCTGACCCCAGGCCTTGGAGGGCAGCTGGTGACAGTGTGTGTGGGTTGGGTGCATGGAGCGTCCACTGGAGTCAGAGAGAAGAGAGGGATTACCTCAGGCAGTTCACGCAGATAGGAAGCAATAATAAAGTGGGTCCCATTAAATGCCAACTTACATTTTCCAGAAAGTTAAGGAAAAGAGAGAAAGAAAACATGGCGGCATCCACACACCTTCTTCATTGTTTTGGTTGATACACTGTGCTAGGTATTTTACTGTCATTTCTCATGTCACCCTCATGCCACCTCTGAAGTGGACACTGTTGTCCTATTTTATAGACTCTGTGCCTGGTAGGGACCAAGTAGGGTGACTATTAGTGATGCTCTGAGGAGAACCTGCAACCACAAGGGTGGGTTGGGCTGGCAGTGGCGTGGCAGGACCTAGGGACCTGAGGGGAGAAGAGTGAGCCCTCAGTGCTCCCTGACCTCAGACTTGCCCCTCAGAGCCCCAGGCCTGGAGAGGCTCTATTTAGCCAACGCGCCTGGGTAAGTGGAGTGACTGGGTAGCCCAGCCCCTGCCCCTTCCAAGGACTCTGGAGAGGAGAGCTGATTTCTCACACCTTCCATCAAGGCTCCATTTCTCTAGGCAACCGACACAAAGGCCTGTGCCACGTGGTGAGATGCTGGGCTCCTACACAGAGGTTCTATTTTCTGTTCTGCATTCTTCCAGGCCGGGTAATTATGGAGCCGTCCTCAGAGGCTCCTGTCTCTTAGCATGGGCTGTTAGAAACCCACTTCTGTCAAGCCAGTTTCACCACTTCTACTTGGTGTTGCTTCAGTGTACTTCATCACAAGTACTCGGCCGTCTGTACTTGGGATGATGTGTTTACACACACAGGCCAGTAAGCAGGAAGCGCGTGTGTGTGTGTGGGTGTGTGTGTAGTGTGAGTGTGTGTGAGTGTGTTGGTTTGTGAATGGAGCACACAGGAAGTGTGTGTGTGTGTGTGTGGTGTGAGTGTGTGTGAGTGTGTTGGTTTGTGAATGGAGCACCCACTGACCAACGTCTCGTGTGTGCCTCCTACACTCAGGCTGAGGTAGTAGAGCTGAGAGGCGGGCTACATAGAATGGAGGGAAAGATCACCTGTGCGCGGGGATTTACATGTAGTGTTGGAAACAGTTAAAAAGAAGTGGGATATTTCAGGTAGTGAGAAGTGCTAAGGGGGAAAAATAAAATGGGTGCATAGTGAATGAGGGGTAAGTAGATTGCTATGGGTGACTCCTTTAGCAGCGTCCCTCAGGCTACATCTCTCCAAGGCAACAGAAAGGCCTGGAAGACAAACATTTCAGGCAAGGACAGAAGCCCTGTGAAGGAATGAGTGGGTGTTTGTATTTGGAGGGCAGTAGCAAGGTAGGGATGGGGTATGGGATGTGAGATCAGAGACATCAGTAGGGATGAGGTCTTCAAGGGTCCAGGAGTCACACCCTGGACTCTGCTGTCACATTTTCTGACCCCAATTCTCTATTGTGCTATATGCTAGCTGGGTGACCTTGAGCAAGCTACTTAACATCTCTGGTCCTCTAGAGGGTAATGACCTGCTTTAGAGATTTGCTAGAAGGACAAGTTAAAGTTTTAAGCACACAGCTGTCCCCTGGAGCAAAGACATGGAAGGGGGTCGACATGGATTGGGGGAGCCTCCTTTATTGGCTCCGGCCAGACCACACACCATGGGGCTGCTGGAAGAGCACTTCTAAAGGCTCAGGGTCCTATGGGCATGGAACTTGGGACAGGCCTCTGCTTCATTCTTTCTAACTATCAAATGAGGGGGTAGATTGAGAGGACTACGGTCTTTTTTTTTTTAATCTATGTCCCTCAAAATATCCTATCGTGGGATTAAAGTATATGAGGAGAACACTCAGAGATGGGGGGCCTTTTCTGAGGAACATGAGCTCTGGTTCTGTGGTAGTCATGGAACAAAGTTCTTGTTTTCCCCTTTGCCAGAGGTGGAGAAGGACGCGATGTTCGTGGTCCTGGCCAAGCCCACCCAAGGGCCAGAGCTGTCAGGTATGTATCAGTCAGGTCCAGCTGGACTTTCATCAGTCATGCCTTGGGGTGGACCCCAAGCACATGAAGGCACTGACAATTCCTGTACACTTAGGCACCTGCCACACTCCTACAATGCGTAGGCTTCTGGCAATTTACAGACAAATAAAATTCTGAAAATCAGATTCTAAGTTCCATGCAGTTTGTTGGCTGGCTATTTAAAAAAGCCATCTTGCACATTCTGTTGGGTTGTAACTACTCTTCCTCCATCAGGATCAAAGCTCATTCATATATAGGCTTTCAAAAAATGGAAGCCTCTGTCCCTTCAATCGTGTGTGTGTGCACACTTGCGCACCAGCACATATCTGCACTCACTTGGGCACATCAAAGTATTCAAGAATAAGAATGGTTTTTACTCCTAGGCTTTGTTGTGATATGTGGCCAGAAAAAGAAATGGCCGCTGGCCCCACAGACATCCCCCATGGGGACACAGAGGAAACTTACTAATTTGGGGAAAATGGAAAATCTGCCTGGAATAGGATGGGGAAGGGGAGGCAGTGGGAGCGGAGAAAGAGGTGACTGGGAATTCTCCTGGAATTCATTCATGAGGTTGCAGTCTACAATCAACTATTCATCAGCCCACATCCAGGGAACCACTGTTGTTTGCTTTTTGCTTCTGCAAGATGATGACAGTGGCCCTAATCGTGCTCCAGAGAGTGGCTTGACCTCCCCAGGCAAATCTTTGGCATCTCCCTGCAAAGCCACATGTCTCACCAGCCAGGCCTCTGCACTTCGCATGGGGAGGAGTCCCTTCACTCCCAAACCCACCACGAGCTGGCGCAGAGGCCATGAGGACCTCCGGAGAGGCTCTCCTTCATCATTTATTAATGGTCCCTGGCCTCATCCCTGAAATAATTAGAGTATGGATATTTTCATATCAGGCAGTTAATTGCCATCTGCCTGCTTAATACGTCAGGGCAGCGGGTAGCAATCTGAAGGCCCAGGGAGGATGGATGGCGCGTGGGCCATGAGTCATGGTGGTGGCTGCCACAGCCTGGGGGCGGGGGAGGGGCGGCGGGCAGCCATCAGCCATCAGTGGCATGTGGGAGGTGCCAGGGCTCCTGTTCACAGGGGGAGCGTTAAGAGCCAGCTTCTCCTCTGGGAGGAGAAGCAGAAGATGAAATCCTGGCAAAAACCTCAGTTCTCACCATAACAGACACCCACGGGACTATCTCTCCAGCATACAGATTTGGGATCAGTAGCCCTGTTCTCTAGCCCTTCTTCCAGCAAATGGAGCCTGAGCTGGGGATTCCTCTCTCTCTCGATCTCTGTGTGTGGTTTGTTGAGAGAATGCTCTGGAAGAAGCTGTGAGGGAGCGAGGGGGCAAAAGAAAGCAGG